ATTCATGTGACCGAAACATAATTTTGTCTCTCGATTTCCCTTTGCAAATAACGCTTTCTTTTTTTCTTTTTTTAAAAACAAAGCATTGTACATGTAGGTGTAAATATCTTCGTTTCTGTGCTTAATGTATATTTATTGCATTCAATCAATTTTACCTCTGAGATCTAAACTAAAGTGAAGAGTCTGAAACTGTTTGGTAAGTACAATGGAAAGAAACAAATGTAATTCGTATTTTGATAATATATAGTAAAAATACTTTTATTAATGCCCCCTTTCAATCTATTCAATGCAGGAAAGGTTTTTATGTTCAAATTTATATAACACAATTACAAACTGTCTAAAAACTTATTTAACAAACATACGATTAAATCTAGCAACTATGTTTATTTAATTTCAAGAGAGTACATCGGTTTTAAAAAAAAACGATCACTACGAACAAAGTGCGAATCGGACACATGATTGATTTGTTTAACAGATAACCTGCGGTAACGTGTTCTTTTATTATGCTTCCCATATTTATCGTCATTGATAAGCCAAGTTTTGCATTGTATTCCTATACAGGCAATAATATCAGATTTTAAAAAATTCTTGTAAATCAACGCCGACACCTGAAAATTATAAAGACTATTGTAGTCCCCTAGTTCATGAAGCAAGTTCTTGATTTGCACTTTGTACATAGGGTGAGGTTTAGGTTGTTAATCAAATTCTTGATTACAAATGTAGCTATTTTGTCCAAGGAACAATATGTGGCTTGCACATCAACACTTGGTAAAACATTTACTTCAGATGAACGATTTTCTTTTGATTATGATAATACAATTATTTTACTTGTGGTCCTTGTATTGCGGCATGATCTATCAAGCGTTAGAAGCATTATTTTAATTTTTTTCATTTTAATTCTAGCTGAAAAGGATGTTAGGAAGAATGAGAGCAACACCAGTTGTCGATTTTTATATCCAAAGACAGACGAGGATAAATCTTTTGCAAAAAGAATTACCTAAAAGCAACAAAAAACAAAACTTACAACGAGCAGTATCAACCAAATTGGTGCTAAAGCAGACAACCCAAAACATGAGAAAAATGGCTGTGAAATAAGTATTAGCAGTGTTAAAATCAATTTGAAAGTTTTTTTTCTTCGCAAGAAACCGTCTTGATGAGTGACAAAATTATTGTATTGGATGGTGACTTTAATAAAGTGTTTTTGTGTAATTGTCATTTGTTCTTTCGTTGTATTTTTCTTTTTTTTTTCACATGAAGAAAAAATTGTGGGAATCGATTGATTTTTTTTCAGTTCTTGAACTATCATTTACCTGTAAGAATCAATTATACTACCTTCAGGTGTCCAATTTTTTTAAAAAAGAGGAGGGTTATTCTTAAAAATATTGGACAGTTAAAGGTAACATTATGGTTTCTTATATATATATATATATATATCTTTATTCTGTCAAACCTTTGCAATTACAATGGTATACAGACACTACATAACATCAATAAATAGTCATAAATACATGTCTGACAAAATACATTTTGATAAAATGGGCCAGTGCATTTATATGTGTTTTAAAATCAAATTATGCAACTGTATTGATAATCTGCGACCCTTACACACCAAAATGTATGCGAATTAATTCAAGAAGTTCCAGTGATTTGAGATTTGAGATTTTAAGGCAATTTAAGGACATTTTTCATCGACTGTATGTGTTTTCTATAAAAATCTTCACCTTTTTTGAAAGAATTCAATCAATAAAAATTAAGATAACAAAAGAGATAAATGCATTATTTTTTTCGATTTTCAGTTACTAGTATATTTCAACAAACTAAAGTTGTATGCAAAATTATACCAAAACCTGTGACATTTACTGTAACTTGACCTTACCATAATTATTTTAAGGATTTCAGGTTAAAATTATTTTTTAGATCAACCCCTTCCATGTGTCATACGAAATTCTCTTTTTAAACACGCTAGTTTAAGTAGGTAGTTACAATTTTTTCAATAGATCACAAGTACTCTCAGATGAATTTTTGAAAATGGTCTTATCAATTGTGAAATTTTGGTTTTTAATTTGTCTTTTTGACCTTATAGTTATGAAGGCAGTTTTTTTTTTTTTTACAAAATAGTCTGGTATCAATAAAAAAAAACTTTCTGCATTGGCGTGTATATATGCAACTTAATATGGTTTTCAAACATCAGACTTAATAAACTTAAAGTATAAACAATTAACACCCACATGCAAATGAACAAGCTTTTTATATATTTGTTAAAAATTGGCATTGATTAAGTTATCAGTCTAAAAACTTGATTTTAAGAAAGCTGTAAATTTGATTAAAGACGACAAGTATGTTATAATAAAATTTTTGACAAAATTCCATTTAACTTTCTATAATAAAAATAACCAGTGGCTTCAAATTTAAAGACAGAAATTAAATAATACTCTTTTTTAATGCATCGGAGATATACTAGAAGCAATAGGCACTCACGGACCGATTCGTCAAATGAACTAATGGAATAAAATAAAGTAATTACTATATTTTGGCTGCATATCAAAGTGCTAATATGAAATATGAAGTAACGGAAATCAACTGACATAAATAGATTTATGTTTGACGCATAAAATGTTTAAAATCTTTATCAATATTATTTGCTGAATTATCAGAATAGAATTTTGTTTTGAAAGTAAAGGACTGTCTGCATTAGACTTTATTTTTGTCTTGATTTTACATTAATAGAAACAAAATCCAAAAGCGCGAACTCACACGAAACCAAAGATTACCTTAGGTGTATTTGGCAAAACCTATCGGAATTTTGGGTCTGCAATGCTCTTCAATTTCGTACTTTATTTGGCTTTTTAACTTTTTTGGTTCGAGCGTCACTGATGAGTCTTCCGTAGACAAAACGCGCGTCTGGCGTACAAAATTTTAATCCTGGTATCTATGATGAGTTATTTACAATCACTTGGTCGATGTCACTGCGGCTGGAGGTTTCTCCCCGAGGGTATCGCTGGTCCAGTAGTCAGCACTTCTGTGTTGACATGAATTAATATTGATATGGTCATAATTATGAATGAACTGTTTATAAAACTTTGAATTTTTTCGAAATACTCATGATTTTTTACCCCATGAAAAGATTTACCTTAGCTGTTTTTGGCAAAACCTTTCGCCATTTTGGGACGAAACGCGTCTGGCGTACACAATTTTATTCCTGGTAATAAGTGTATTCACACACGCACAAACAAATAAAACCAATCAATGCAAAATTATCGAAAAAACAAAACAAATGAAATAAAGAAATGCAAGTCATCATTATATTATGCAGCTGACGTTGTTAAAAACAACCAGTTGACAATTTTTTTTTTATAAAACTTAATATTTTGAAATCTATTATAAATTTAAATAATAATAAAAACAAACACAGTTTATCCCCAAAAGATTAAATGTTAAATACAATAAAAATAAAGTTGCAAGTATAAACAAAATGAGATATAGGGTATATATACTTCAAGGAGACAGCAAACCATCGAAAAGAAAAGCCAAAAGAGATCTAGAGGGCAACATTAAGTCTTCAACATACTTGGTCAATGTATTGTATTTGTGTTTTGTACAGCTTACGAGATGCTCGTTTTTGGAGCACCACTGACGACAAATTCAACATCTATATATATGCCACTTCTGCACTGACGACAAATTCGACATCTAAATATATCCCAATTAATCTATTCTAATATCAAGAATTTGGTAAAAGTGTTTTTGTTTTTGCATGACTACCATTTATCCTTGAGTTAGGGGTTTGATTTCTTGGGGGAAACTTTTTTTTTCCAATTTAAATCAAATACACACGATTTTTTTAAATAACTTACAGAAACAAGATTTTTCATTCCAGATTGGCTAGAGGTATAGGAGGATGGTTGATATCTCGCAAAACATGTTTAACCCCGCCGCATTTATGTTAGTCTTGTGTTTTTTAATTTTTAATTTTAGTTCATTTACATGTTTCTGAGTTTAGTGTGGCGTTCATTTCGCTGAACTAGTATACATTATTGCTTAGGGGCCGGCTGAAGCCCGCCTCCGGGTGCGGGATTTTCTCGCTACGTTGAAGACCCATCAGTGGCCTTGGGCTGTTTTCTGCTCTTTTGTCGAGTTGTTGTCTCTTTGACACATTCCCCGTTTCCATTCTCAATTTTATTTCATTTATAAATGTTATTTTTTTGTCTTTTCTTAAATCTAATTTATACTAATTTTCAAAAGAAACGGACCATTTTTTCAAATCCCTTCCAAAAAGAATTGCATTCTCAAAAAAACTATATAGAATAAAACAATTTATCAAAACATAGCATTTCTCTCTCCTCATTAAAAAGTTAGTACATTGTTGACACCTAGTCAAATTTCAGGTCAATCGGATGTAAAAATGTTGAAGTAGAAGTACTGGATTCGTAAACGATCATCATCATCGCGAAGATATGCCTTGTCTTATGTATATGTGATTATTTTGTCTTATTTTCTTCAAAGTTACCGGTGTCGAGTGTTAAGTTTCAGACAATCGTATATGGTCATCAAATTATCTTCGGTATTTGGTACTTTTTCATCCGATAAGCACAAAGCTAGCGGGCACTATATGATTGGAAATATGATACACCGTAAAATATAATAGAAAATAAAGAATTCTTAGTACACTTAGTACACTTAGTACACTTAGTACACTTAGTACACGTATCAGCATAGGTAGGAAAATATAAACAGATCTGAGACTGAAGTCTGAAGTCTGAACACGTAACGTTCAATGTTAGAGTCCTCAGATTGATTTTCTGATGAGCATGCGACGCTTATTGTATTGCAGACTCTTTAGTCGTGTTGTTGTCTCTTTGACACATTCCCCATTTCCATTTTCAATTTTACTCTAGCAATTAGTCATATTAAGTTATGGATTAATCCAATGTTAGGGAATTATTTACTGTTGTAATCTCATATCTTTGATTTTTCACTTACTTATAACGACAACAATAAAATAGCAAGAAATATTTTTTAATAGATTTAACAAAATAGAAAATATATATGATAGTGATGATAACTGGAGTTTAGGATTGCAATGGAAGTCTGATCCGTGGTCAGTTTTTACTGGTGTTTAGGATTGTAATGACAATCTGATCCGTGGTAGGTTTTTACTGGTTTGTTTATGATGGATGTAAATCCTTGCTCTTTCAGGAATTGAAGGATTTCCGGTTCGTATGTTTTAAATGTCGTTGTATCACGTGACAGCACAAATAAGGTTGCTTTTACGAAATCACTGACAATGGAATATTGGTATTGACCATCAGTGCCAAATGTTTTTGGTCCCAACTTTAAAACCCAGTCTACAAAAAAGGTAAAAAATTATTACCAGCTGATGAACAGTTGTATTTAATGTTATTCACAGAAAAAAATGAAAAAGATTAAGATATACGTAGAACTATTATCAGGGAAACAATTTAAGTGTACGTAAATCGCTCGACCTATCGTCAATAGATATGGTGACTTTAGAATAATTAGTAACTTGAGAATAACCAAATTATTTGTAAATGTCTTATTTATCAAATGTTGCTGATGTTTACCAAAAACAATAAATGATTGCTCTTTAAAAGTGTAAAACAGAAATAAAGTTAAATTTTTAATATTACAGCTCATAACCCTGCACATACTAAGTATATTCTAAAATTGTTCTAATCAAGCTCATAACCCTGCATACTAGTATATATTCTAAAATTGTTCTAATCGAATCAAATGGCAATTAAGCTAGTAAGACGTTTCTTAACTTTAAAAAAAAAAACATTTGTTAGTTTTCTGAATTGAATTGTTTCATATTTTAATAGCCGACTATACGGTATGGGTTTTTCTCATTGTTGAAGGCCGAACGGTTGCCTATAATTGTTTACATCCACTTCATTTTAACTTTGGTGGATAGCTGTCTCATTGGCACTCATACCACATCTCCTCATTTCTATAGTAATTGCGTATCTTTACTTACATGGAGCTGGTAAAGGAGCAGTTTCTAGAACGACGGTCAGTTGACCGGGTTTGTCCGATGGCAGAGCATACCCGTGAGTTACTTTAAGTGGTGAGGTAGGACTGTCTACTGTTTCTGAGTTTAGTACTGTGATGTTGTTGGTAACTCCTGGCTGTACTGAGTCTAAAAAGGAAACAAGAATCCAAAGTTTTTTATTTATATATATTTGATATTAACACCATCTGCAGTGTCGTCTTAATAAATTCGATATTAAAATATTTCTCTTCTATCTTTCGGTTAAATATATAAAGGTTTGTTGTATAGTTTTTCTCTGTGTTTATTTTATTATTATTGCATTGTACTTATTTAATGTTTTTGTCCGTTTTGAATGATCTTCCTTAAATCAAAATTGAAATGTCATATACGGAAAAAGAACATCACTTATTTTCATCTACTAACTGATAATTATATAGTTAATCGTTCCTGCTAAAAGTGCTTCTCTGAAAAGGCTATATAAATGACCAATTATTCTATGGGAAAGAAAATACATTTACAACATTTATCTTGTTTATTATTTTGACATTTGGTAACCAATCTTCAGACACATCTACATTTACGAACTCCCATTCTGTTAAAAGCTATTTGGTTTAAACGTCTTAAAAAAACTGTCGATAATATGTCGACCAGTATGAATTTTATATAATTCATTTAATAAGCAGTGGTTATTACTTATCAAAATGGTGGCGCTGCAAGTAGATTTATAGCCAGTCTCATTCATAAGTGAAAAATGGGAAATAAACGTTTCAGTTATTAACTTTCTACAGCGATTATCAAATTTTTTTTTACTGCAAAACGACGGTCATTTACACCTAATATCAGAATCAATTTTTTAGAAATTTGAAAATGGTTTATTTATTAACGCAAGTTTTCAGCCCTTTGAATTCGAATTTGACAAATCATTTTAACCGATCAAATGGTATCCTTTAATTGTTTACAAGAGATAAGTCATGTTTCTTGAGTAGTATATGTCGTATGACTTTTTGTAACCCTTCAGTTGACTTTTTACTTTGAAAGAGAACTGCAAAATCCCTTAAAATGCTTCTTTTGGAGATTTTATCTTTAGTATTTATATGACCCAAGTACTTACCATTACATATTTTTTTATAAAAATAAGGAGATGTGGTATGATTGCCAATGAGACTATAAAAGACCCTGACATGAAAAATATGAAACAATTCAATTGAGAAAACTAACGGCCTAATTTATAACAAAACCATTTACGATATACAAATATGACAGACATGAACCAACGACATCCACTGAACAACAGGCTCCTGACTACTAGTAATTGGGACAGGCACATAAAGAATGTGACGGGGATAAACCTGTAAGTCAGCGCTGAACCCTCCCCCTAACCTGGGACAAGTGGTGTAACAGTACAACATAAGAACAGGTTTTATGATGGATTCTCGTTGCTCAGTCTTTGCCAATGGTTTTTTAAGTAGTTTTTTGTTTTTCTATTAAGCCATGATATTGCCGGTTTTTCTTAGACTTGTAATTTTAGATTGTTCCATTGGTGCAGCCACCGCATCTTTATGATACGAATATTGTTAAGTGAGTCGAATAAGTTTTTGGTTTAAGCTTATGTTAACAAATATAGAAGTGTAAATTGCTATTTTTGAGAAATCATCTTTATGACTGGATTCAAGAATTTATGTTTGCACTTCATGTGCCTAGAATGGCTCAAACCTACTCCTTGTGGAAGTAATTTTTCACATATTCATGTACCTGTACCAAGTCAACATCTTGGTTAGTGGTTGTCTTAATCATATTATAATGTATTTTGTTATCTGGAGAGTTTGGCAGATCTTGAAGAGATTCTATTTAGTTTCAATTCGCAAATGTTCTAGACACGGTACGATTTATAGCTAGACATATTATATAGACGTCTGTCTCTGTCCGTAATTTTGACGTTTAGGTTGATGTTACATTAACATATAATACCCTACACATAATTTTATTCGTAATGTAAGGCTATTACAATAGAGGTAGAAAAACTTACAGTCAGCAGTAACACATTGGGCCCCTCGTTCGAATGTGGCATAAACAGACTGACTAGCATACATCTGATACCATCTTCCTAGATATTTAGCTACATCTAGTTCTGATACGGTGTTGACCTTTGTACTCAGTCCAAAAGTATCCAGTACAAAGCCGGACACTACTGGAACAGTCAAACAAAGTAACAGTAAACTCCTCATATTGTCCAAGGTAGTTATTATCGTTGGAAAGACAGATGTAGATTTATTACCTTAGCTGGTAGGCAGAGTTTATATAGGAAGGAATTTCCTAATCAGAACATGTTTTGACCATGTGAGCTGATACGAGTGTATGGAACCCATGCTTACAAACATGTGATAGAATTAAGAATCCATACCTGTAGCCGTATTATCTTATGTAAGACAACTGATAACAATATTTTCTAAATGTTTGGTCAAGGACGTATAATGACCAATGACTTGAAGACTTTAAAATTTTGGTTTAGTACATATGTACCGAAAAGTAGAGGCGTTCATCTTTTTCCATTTTACTTTTTAAGTATTTGCAATTGATATAAGCGAGTTATTTTTTTTTTGTAAATCCGATATGTCAGGTAAAAGATGTAGAACCAATTCTGTTCACAAATCACTTTATGAAAAGTAGACTTTGAATGAGAGGAAAAATGAAATATAGACAGTACAATGCATTTAACAGAAAACGGAAATATTATAAAAACAGAAAAAAATCCCCCCAAAAAATCATCAGCACTAATGCATAGCAAAATAACTTAGCAAGTTTTCTACCGGCCTTTGAAACCATAATGATGAAATATCTAGTCAGACTGATAATAAGCGTTAATCTTTATTAATCGCGATATAATAACATTACTCGTAGAAAATTCTGACAATAATTTACAGTTGATCATGGAATCATTTTTTATTATATTGATAAAAGATTGCGACATTTACATACACACGTTATGTAACCATGTCATTTCCTCTACCTTATTTTTTACTTATGGTAAAATGTTGTAGAAAAATTTACAAACTTTACTCATTTAAAGCTTTGGTCAATCTTTTATCATAATGAATATTAATTCTTTGATTGATTTATTTATGTATTGCTTGACTAATATTTGCTGAAAATCCAGTGAGTCAAACATGTCGTATTTAGGACGACTTTTTAAAAACAATGGAAAGGAGGTAAATATCAACTGATTTTCATTAATATTATTCATGAGTCTTCCACCATTAATAGTGTAACCTGTAAGTTAAAGACTTTAGCCCAAATTTCTCGAAAACATGTCCACAGATTTTCAAAAAATAAAAATGATATGTAATGAACAGTTCCGTTGTGGTGCGATACAAAAATTAAAATATTTTGGGTCAACGGATTTATATTCATAATATTTAGAATATTTATTCTGTAATTATCTTGAATATCATTCATTATCGTTCGAGACATGGTTCAAATCATTTTGTCATTTTTTTTCGAACAGTGGACCACCTTGTAGAGTTTATTTACCTTTAAGAACACCAGTACTTTGATTTTCAGTTGGTCAGGGTCATTTAGTAAGAGAATACATCAAATGAATAATAACGTTGACAAATCTTAGTAACAAAAACTATTTGTAGAATTTTTAACTTTCTTCATGATAAACAACGCATGAATTAGACATGTGATTTCTTATCAGTTTAATTTTAGTGAGTTAAATATTATAACATATTATCCAGTGCTAAACGTTTAAAACGTGATTTATTGCAAAATATGGTTAGTAAATTAAAAGGAACTTCGGACTTTCCTTTGATATTTTCGAAAAATTTATATCTAAAAATATTTTAAATTGATAGCCTTATGTTTCACCCTGTTAAAACTTGTCTCTTGATTATGCCTTTGTCGGTTATTGATTATGCTTTTGTCAGTTATTGATTATGCCTTTGACAGTTATTGATTATGCCTTTGTCAGTTATTGATTATGCCTTTGTCAGTTATTGATTATGGCTTTGACAGTTATTGATTATGCCTTTGTAAGTTATTGATTATGCCTTTGACAGTTATTGATTATGCCTTTAACAGTTATTGATTATGCCTTTGTCAGTTATTGATTATGCTTTTGTCAGTTATTGTTATGCCTTTGTCGGTTATTGATTATGCCTTTGACAGTTATTGATTATGCCTTTGACAGTTATTGATTATGCCTTTGTCAGTTATTGATTATGCCTTTGACAGTTATTGATTATGCCTTTGACAGTTATTGATTATGCTTTTGACAGTTATTAATTATACCTTTGTCAGTAATTGATTATGCCTTTGGCAGTTATTGATTATGCTTTTGACAGTTATTGATTATGCCTTTGTCAGTTATTGGTTATTTGTTTCTGAGAAAATACCTTAAATATATTATTACTGTATCTAAAATAATTCGTTTTAAATAGTATTAATATGATAGGCTGTGAATTCGACAGAAATCAAGTGGTAAAACATCTAATGCCTAGTGTTTTCTTTAGATGCTACATTATAAGTACCAAATCTTTACAAAAAATACATTTACTAGCTGAACGATACAAGTAACGTAGTTAATCTGTCGATTGAGCAATCGAAAAAAAAACATCTGACCATTATGTCTAATTCAAAACATCTGACCATTATGTCAAATACAAAACATCTGACCATTCTGTCTAATACAAAACATTTGACCATGCTGTCTAATATAAACATCTGACCATTCTGACTAATACAAAACATCTGACCATTATGTCAAATACAAAACATCTGACCATTCTGTCTAATACAAAACATTTGACCATGCTGGCTTCTATAAAACATCTGACCATTCTGTCTAATACGAAACATCTGACCATTCTGTCTAAAACAAAATATCTGACCATTCTGTCTAATACGAAACATCTGACCATTCTGTCTAATACAAAACATCTGACCATTCTGTCTAACACAAAACATCTGACCATTCTGTCTAATACAAAATATCTGACCATTCTGTCTAATACAAAACATCTGACCATTCTGTTTAATACAAAACATCTGACCATTATGTCTAATAGAAAACATCTAACCATTCTGTCAAATACAAAACATCTGGTCATTTTGTCTAATACAAAACATTTGACCATAAAGTCCTATACAGAACATCTGACCATTCTGTCTAATACAAAACATCTGACCATTCTGTCTAATACAAAACATCTGACCATTCTGTCATATTTAAAACATCTGACCATTCTGTCTAATACAAAACATTTGACCATTCTGTCTTATATAAAACATCTGACCATTCTGTTTTATACAAAACATCTGACCATTCTGTGTAATACAAAACATTTGACCATTCTGTCTAATACAAAACATCTGACCATTATGTCTAATACAAAACATCTGACCATTATGTCCAATACAAAACATCTGACCATTATGCCTAATACAAAACATCTGACCATTATGCCTAATACAAAACATCTGACCATTATGTCTAATACAAAACATCTGACCATTATGCCTAATACAAAACATCTGACCATTATATCTAATACAAAACATCTGACCATTATGTCTAATACAAAACATTTGACCATTTTGTCTAATACAAAACATTCGACCATTCTGTCTAATACAAAACATCCGACCATTCTGTCTTATACAAAACATTTGACCATTCTGTCTTATATAAAACATCTGACCATTCTGTCTTATACCAAACATCTGACCATTCTGTCTAATACAAAACATCCGACCATTCTGTCTTATACAAAACATTTGACCATTCTGTCTTATATAAAACATCTGACCATTCTGTCTTATACAAACCATCTGACCATTCTGTCTTATACAAAACATTTGACCATTCCGCTTATACAAAACATCCGACCATTCTGTCTTATACAAAACATCTGATCATTCTGTCTAATACAAAACATCTGACCATTATGTCTTATACAAAACATCTGACCATTCTGTCTAATACAAAACATCCGACTATTATGTCTTATACAAAACATCTGACCATTATGTCTAATACAAAACATCCGACCATTCTGTCTAATACAAAACATCCGACCATTATGTCTAATACAAAACATCCGACCATTATGTCTAATACAAAACATCCGACCATTCTGTCTCATACAAAACATCTGGTCAATATGTCTAATACAAAACATCTGGTCATTCTGTCTAATACAAAACATCAATACAAAACATCTGACCATTCTGTCTCATACAAAACATTTGACCATTTTGTCTTATACAAAACATTTGACCATTCTGTCTAATACAAAACATTTGACCATTTTGTCTAATACAAAACATTTGACCATTCTGTCTAATACAAAACATCCGACCATTCTGTCTAATACAAAACATCTGACCATTCTGTCTTATACAAAACATTTGACCATTCTGTCTAATACAAAACATCTGACCATTCTGTCTAATACAAAACATCTGACCTTTCTGTCTAATACAAAACATCTAACCATTCTGTCTTATACAAAACATTTGACCATTCTGTCTAATACAAAACATCTGACTATTCTGTCTAATACAAAACATCTGACCTTTCTGTCTAATACAAAACATCTGACCATTCTGTTTAACACAAAACATCAATGCAAAACATCTGACCATTCTGTCTAATACAAAACATCTGACCATTCTGTCTAGTACCAAACATCTGACCATTCTGTCTAATACAAAACACCTGACCTTTCTGTCTAACACAAAACATCAATACAAAACATCTGACCATTCTGTCTAATACAAAACATCTGACCATTCTGTCTAATACCAAACATCTGACCATTCTGTCTAATACAAAACATCTGACCTTTCTGTCTAATACAAAACATCTGACCATTCTGTCTAACACAAAACATCAATACAAAACATTTGACCATTCTGTCTAATACAAAACATCTGACCATTCTGTCTAATACCAAACATCTGACCATTCTGTCTAATACAAAACATCTGACCTTTCTGTCTAACACAAAACATCAATACAAAACATCTGACCATTCTGTCTAATACAAAACATCTGACCATTCTGTCTAATACCAAACATCTGACCATTCTGTCTAATACAAAACATCTTACCTTTCTGTCTAATACAAAACATCTGACCATTCTGTCTAATACAAAACATCTGACCTTTCTGTCTAATACAAAACATCTGACCATTCTGTCTAATACAAAACATCTGACCATTCTGTCTAATACAAAACATCTGACCATTCTGTCTAATACAAAACATTT